GGCCCTCCTGCACTGGCGGGCGGATCTGTTCTCCGCTCGCAGCAGCGCGCTCTTCGTCTCCAGCAGAGCTCATCCCGATGTGGCTTCCCTCGAGGGGCAAACTCTAGAGTGTTTGCGGCCTACGCCACTTATTTATCGGGTGAGACTGTTTTGGTGATGTATTAACTTCACGGGAGGTAGACGACCATCCTTCACACGGACGAAAGAGGGAGTGCTCAAAGAGCGGCTCCCACAGCAAGGAAGGGCCCCGTGAATCATCGCGGTGCCCCCTATCAAACGGTTATCTTACCAGTCTGCGTGACACAAAATCATCCAGCACATGTATCCAACAGCCATGTTCGCAGACTCACGAACAGGCATCCGCCTCGAAGGGGACGGCTTATTCATCGGGCCTCAAACGCGAAACTCCTTGGCCTTTGCTGGCGTCCGCTTCGTAGGCGGACGGCTTGTCCATTGAGACTCAAACGTGAAAATGGTTGGTTTTTGCTGGCGTCCGCTTCGTAAACGGACGGCTTACTCATCGGGCCAAGAACGGAAATTGGTTGACTTTCGCTGGCATCCGCTTCGTAGGCGGACGGCTTGTGCATTGGACCTTGAAACGGGAATAGTTTTGGTCTTTGCTGGCATCCGCTTCGTAGGCGGACGACTTACTCATCGGGCCTTTAACGGGGAAGTCGTTGGCTTTTTTCCGGTATGCGCTTCGCAGGCGGACGGCTTATCCATTCGGACGGCCGAGACATCGGGCCACGAACGGGAAAGAGTTTACCTTGCATCCGCTCCGTTGGCGGACGGCTTATCCATTGGGACTCAAACGAGGAAGTCGTTGGCCTTTGCTGGCATCCGCTTCGCAGGCGGACGGCTGATCGATCGGGCCACAAACGGGAAAATCGTTGGCTTTCGCTGGCATCCGCTTCGTAGGCGGACGGCTTGTCCATCGGGCCTAAAACGGGAAAATCGTTGGCCTTTGCTGGCATCCGCTTCATAGGCGGACGGCCTATCAACTGGGACTCCAACGGAAAAATCGTTGGCTTTCTCTGGCATCCGCTTCGTAGCCGGACCGCCTATCCATCCGGCCATGAACGGTAGCCGTCCGCCTACGAAGCGGGTGCCTGCGGAAGGCAATTCCCGTTCGTGGCCAGATGGATATGGCGTCCGCCTACGAAGCGGATGCCAGCAAAGCCAACGAGTTTCCCGTTTCAGGCCCGATGGATAACCCCTCCGCCTACGCAGCGGACGCCAGCAAAGACCAACGACTTTCCCGTTTGAGGCCAAATCGATGGGCCGTCCGCCTACGAAGCGGATGCCAGCAAAGGCCAACGATTTTCCTGTTCGTGGCCCAATGAATAAGCCGCCCGCGTGCGAAGCGAATGCCAGTGGAAGCCAACGATTTTTCCGTTCGTTGCCCAACAAGTATGATGTCCACCTACGAAGTGGCAGCCCAATAGAACGACGTGTTCCAAGTTTTGTGCGATGAGTAGGGCGTGTTTCCTTCGATTATGTGGCTTTCTGCAACGGAACAAGGGAGCCTCATACTACCCTAATACCATGGTTGGACCTTTGTAATAAAAAGAATGGATCCAGAGAGAATTTAAAGGGACGCTTGATTGCCGTCCCAGCACCTTATCGGGGATATCCATGAGTGAATGCGGGGGCTCTTTACCGTTACGCGGCAGTAGATAACATACATGTGCCTCTTTTGTGTTCGCCGTCAGAAACACGGCAGTATGGCGTAGCAGCAACCCACAATTGGGTTGTGATACAACAGTAGTATCGGAGAACAGCAACTAGGCTTCTGCAAACGGCAGTAGGTGACCGCCACATTCAGAACGAAGACGCAATCCCATTCTCCACTGTGGGGTGAAGGAATCTCAACCCCGCGTTTTACTCGGCTTCCCGGCAGAACCACCAAGTCGATGGGTTTCCACATGTGGATGATATTGGAAGTCAGCACGAACACAGCAACCATCTGCGACCAGGAACACCTCCACCGAGTCATCGAAAGAGGGCTTTCAGGCCCATACATGCCGTCTGACCACTGCAACAACAACAATAACAACAACAACAACAATAACAACCATAACAATAACGATGTCCATTCGGCCTCATCGATCACACTAGTTCGGAACGTGCACCTCTTAGCGGCCCTGTTCCTGTCACCGTTCGTCTGTACTCTGGCGCCCAAAAGGGCAACCCTTACGACGCAAAGCGGCACAAAGGCAACCGCACGTCTTGAGTGGGCGGGGCGACGTCGACTGGCGGTGGCAGCGGCAGCAGCGGCGGCGGCGGCGGCCGATGGGTGCAAAAGCGGCAGCCGAAACACCGTTAGGAACAGGGTTAGGGTTAGGAGAAGGAAGACGGATTGGCTGGTGCACGAGGTGCACGCTCGAACAGCGGGTTTGATGCCAGCGCGGGCCCTGCTTGTTTACTATGGAGGAGAACAGATGTTCGGATAAGGTAGTGTTGTGAACTACAGTGTGCGCTAAACATCGCCGGTATTTATCCCGGCGAATCGACCGGCGCTACTCAGAGGAACCGGCGCTTTTCAAAGTAGAGCAGTACTTGCTGATTCAATCGGTCCCACCGGCGTTATACAGGGCAGTGGCGATATTCCCTCAACTACACCACAGCATACGCCAGGACGATTCTGTGCAGAGGGTTAGGGCTAGGAATAGAGCACAGCAGTCAATCCTGGCGTGGCGTAGACGCGTCTGGGCACCCGAACGCGCTGCAACGACGAGCACCTTCAGCTTCCCGAGAATGAAGTGGAAGCTGATGCTGCCACCGAGTAACACGTGGTATGGACCACGCATGGGGCTCTTACTCGTTACACGCGACCACTGTGTACGAACCTGTGCTCGCACCTGCTCCAGGATGGTCTGAGTTTCGATCGTGTCTTGGTGGTTTTCTCCCAGCTTGTTCTTCTGGATGGAAAGGGCCCTCTCCAATAGTGAATCCGCCTTGCTGTGCTTCCTCTGTGGGCGTTCAAATTGCAATGGTGTCAAATTCTACCAAGTGCGGAAGTGGTTCATGCCTACGCTTGTGTGACTCTTTTTTTTCATTCGGTAGGATAGTCGAGCAGCGGATTGGGGAACTGGACCAACAAAACTGGTGCCGCAATAAGTTGTGTCTTGAAAATTCCGGTAGCTATGTCCTCCTTCAACAAGCTCGCAGACTAGGACCACATGAAGGTATCGCACCTGTCGGCTCAACAACAACGCACGGTTGCGCAGCGTTATGGCCAAGCCTGGATGCTCCGGGCCCAGAACCTTCTCCTCTATAGCCTGAGCCCGCTTAAACAGTCGCTCGGCCTTAACGTATTTCCCCTGAGGAAAAAAAGGAGTGGGTTGGTGTTAGGCAGCGGCCGGTCAAACTAATTACACCAAGACATGCGGACCCTGCGATTCTCACCTGAAACTCCAACGACTTCGCTCGGTTGTTGAGGACTAAGCCAACGTTCTGATGATCCCCCCCGAGCCAAATCTCCCAGATCTTCTGGGTCCTCTTAAACAGCGCCTCAGCCTCCGCGAATCTACCCTGTCAAAACAAGGGGCAAGACTTGGTGAGAGCAGTCAGTGCTGGTTATGTGGGCGCGCAAAAAAACAAAATCCACATTGTCTGTTGTTGCGTGAGGCGGCCGCATCCTGATGCTTCTGGCGCAAGGTCTTCTGGCCGATGCGCTATGACTTCCACCTTGTCCCCAACGCACTATTGCCAACTGAACCAATTGGTGGATGTAAGACAATAGGCCACCAAAAGTGAAACACAACCCAGAACTGCGGATGCATTCCCGGAAGCATGGTTCGGATATTGCGTGGCGCCTCTACCCGTACAACTCCGGTTGTTTCAGCCGTACTGCATCGGCGGGAGGAACCGAACAACATCCCTGAAGCTATTTTTTAATGTGTTTGACCTGTTGAAAGAACGAGCTCGCCCAATTGTTGAGGTCTACGGCGACGTCCGGGTGGTCAGGTCCGTAGAGTGCCTCGTCGATCGCAACCGAGCGCTTGTACAATGGCTCAGCCTCCTCATACTTGCCCTGGAATGAAAAGAAAAGGTGCTCGTGGTGAGGTTAGGCTTGCGCAAAAAGAAACACGATCAACGATCACGGTGCAGGCACTCTATCCAGCCAAAGCATGGTTCCATCGACGACTATTTTCTTGCTGCCGTTACGGTTCTTAAGCAGGACCAGTCTCTGAGGCGGTGAGAACTCTGGGCAACCTCCGGGAAGGTGAACAAAACTATATATACAGGTACTCTTGGTAGGTCTTAACGAAGAAATCAAAACTCGAAATCACATTTGGTTATAAGAATAAAAAAGTCGGATCTACCCAAATCCGACCAGAAATGGCCTGTGTGTCTCAACGGCAGATCTGCCAAGTGGAAACGAGTCTCTGCAGTCCACCGCAAACAACCCGAGAGGTCCGCCGCTTGCCAACTCCCAGATTGCTGTTGTGACGTGCTGGTATGACGTGGCCACATTACATGGGAAGCTATCGCTCCCGAAAAGCACACACCAAACGCGTGGCATGGCCTCTGTGCGGGACTGACACGATGTCTATGCATGTGAGACTTTGAATCGAGCCTCGTCCGACGGAAAGCCACCAATTCGTCTGTGCATTTGAGGTTTGATAACCCACTCGAGATTGCCCACAGATCAATACACCCCTCACGTTTTTTTCGGCGGCAGACACGTGCAACAACTATGCGCAGTCACCCTCCCTTTAGGTTGGCTTTTATTGCTCTCTCTCTCTCCTCTGTGCTCGGCGGTGGATGGGGTTCGTGTGGATGGGGGTAGGTGGGCACGCGCCGTGCATGCGAGTACACCGCTAATGTTCGAACTTCGTTGCGGTTCACCCAAATCGGGACATGAATAAATGATTTCACCTTTTTTCAAAACCCGACTTGGTTTTGGGTCGTCCTGTTTTAAGTCCTCAAGATTTGACGCGTTCCATCATTTTTCAGCCAATCAACAACACAGTTCTGTGGATCTCGCGGTCTTGAAACCAAGTCTGCATGTGATTTCGAGATCTGATTTCTTCGTTAAGACCTACCCTAAAGCATTGGGGGGCTGTCCTGTCGCGCGTCCAGAGAATCGAGAGCTGCTTGCAGTGTGATCGAATCTCTACTAGAAACAACGGGTTGAGCCTCATGAGGCAGTCGAAGAGAGGACACATGTACAGCACCACCCCCACGTGCTGCAGCACGGGCGTCCTTTACAACGATCCCGCTTCCTGGCACTCGTCCTGTTTCATGCATATTTAAGGACCGAGTCCCAGTGGCTGAGCGGTTAAAGGCAGCCGTCCCGAAAGAACACGACCTGCTCGACACGTACGTGATTTTCAATATATTCAGACGAACTACAGCCGTTGCTCTGATATATGAAGGTGCTGTACTTTACAGGAGGGGGCTGCGATATACGAGGGTACCTTGTTGGAGGGGGCTCCGATACAAGAGGTTCAAGGACCTTTGTCACACCACCCTCTTGCATCAGAGCCACGACAGAAGTCCGGTTCTCACCTGACTGGTCAACACCCCCGCCAGGTTGCTGAGCGACACGGCCACAGCAGTGTCATCAGGACCCAGAGCTTTCTCGCGAATGGCGAGCGCCCGCTCGTACAGAGGCCTGGCTTCGTCAGGCATGCCCTGGGTATCATGACGAACGTGCGGGAAACAAGTACGGCCACGTCTGGGGGAGAAACAAGCGCTACAATCCATACAAGGGTGACCGGCGTCCAGCAGTGCCTCGCCAACCTCCATGTTTGAGCACTTCACAGGAGGACAGGGTGAGCATACCCTGTCTATCTGACAAGCAGTGGGTTGATGTGAAGGAGGCGATGCACCCAATACTTACGCAATTCGACTACGAGTGAGTCACCCACCAACCGTGCTGCAGCTCGTGGAAACAGCCTAGTTTCTTGGCACATGGCGGTTAACTTGAGGTACAGCCTGTGCTTTCTTGTGATTTGGAATTCGATTGTTGTACAAACAGCCGCGCCTCCGGTGACCTTGCACAATGTAGAGGTGTGGAGACGCACGATAACGATGCTGCAGAGGTGTCGGTACGTCGTCCGAGCAGCGCCAGCGAAACCAAAGTTCGACATCAGCTTCTGGACGGGACAATACTCTCGACCACCAATCCTTCCGCCGTCACCATTCCCCGTAAGCAAAAGAGGTGTTTCATGTGGTGTGCTGGTCCAGCTGATTCACTCGTTTCCTGTTGCTGTGGAACGTTACTGTTATAAACATTAGCGTCGGCAGTGATCCCCGTGAATTTTCCCACGTTCTGCAGCGTGGATGCACCTACGCAAACGTTACCGAGAACGTTGCCCGACTCTCACCTGCAATCGCAACAATCCCGCCCGCCTGTTGAGCCTCGTCGCGATGTCTGGGTGATCAGGGCCATGCGCTTTTTCTCCGATCTCGATCGCCCTTAGGTACAGAGGGTCCGCCTCGGTGTAGTCACACTGCAGATGTTGATCGACACGCGATAGGTGTGCCAATGTAGCGGAAACTGCTCTATGGTTTTTTGTCAAGCTTAATGCAGTTTGCTGCTCCAGAACAAGCGCGCAAGTATCCACGCACGGATGGACGTTGGCCATGTCGCCACTTTCGTATGATCCCGTCCCGAGGATGCCTGGGAGATCTCCCGAATCCTCGTGAACAACAGTTCCGTCGAGACTGCCTAGACATGAGTAGGTGGAAGGCATCGGATCAGCACAAGCGCAGAAGCTTCCCCCATAGAACACGGATCCTGTAATATATATCAAGAAAATTCGGCTCTCACCTGCGTCTCCAGCAAACCAGCCCGGTTGCTGAGCCAGGTCCCCACGTTGGGGTGATCACGACCCAGCGTGTTCTCGCCAATCTCAATAGCTTGGCGGTACTTGTGGTCAGCCTGTTCATACTTGCCCTGCGAAATAGAGGATAAGGAAGTTGCCATAGTACATGAGCGAGTGCGCAGCCTATTAGCTCCACTTTCTCTCTCGTAGAGAACGTAACCGGATAATCCGCGAGAACGGGCAACCCGGATAGTCAGGCAATTTCCCCAAAACATCTGTAGGCACTCCCCCAGGCGTTCTCAACGGGAATTGCAGAATTGCCGAAATACAAAAAGGCGATGGTTTACTTGGACAAATGGAACTATGAGGCTGTCAGCACGCCCCCGTAACTCTCGACTATGGTTTCAACGAAGAGAGGAGCAGCACGCCGAAACCTGGGGGACCTACGATGCTTCTCGCAAAATGAACAATATCTGACCTGACTCTCCAACAACCGGGCCTGGTTGTTGAGTACGACGGCCACGTTTGGGTGCTCAGCCCCGAGTGCCTCGGCCCAGATCTTGATGGCACGCTCGTAGAGAGGCTCCGCTTCAGCGCACTTGCCCTGGAGGGTGCGTGAGTGAGCAGGGTTAGACTAGGGGTGGTCAAGGCAAATACCAGCCGGTACCATCACAAAGGAAGAAGATGAGCACCGATCGCCTCGAGTCATCACCAGAAACGTCCTGCAGAACTCTGCCGGTTTTCACCTGCTCTCGCAAAAGCTCCGCACGGTTGTTGAAATCTGCAGCCACTGTTGGGTGTTGTGGGCCAAGAACCGCCTCGTTGATTGCAGCAGCTCTTTTGAAGAAAGGGTCTGCTTCGGAGTACTCGCCCTGGGAAGCAGAGCAGAGGGAAAAAGAGGATAGTAATTTTGGGCAGGGCTACATAGACTAGGCGAGCGGTAAAAACATTGTTCCACAACCCCGATCGGGTGTCGGTTGTTGCAGTTACACCAAGCAAACCAATCACCCATCATACTTCAATGTTCCACTCAGAGGAGTCCTGGCTCTCACCTGCAGCTGTAGCAACGCCGCCCGGTTGTTGAGCGACTGGGCTACATCTGGATGATCCGGGCCCAGGACCTTCTCTCGAATCGCCTGTGACCGCTCAAAGAACTGTTGCGCCTCAGCATATTTTCCCTGTGAAAGGTAGGTGGTACAAGGAAGTGGGCCGCCAACGATTGTTGTGTACGACGTCTATTGGGTGCCGTTAGACATGTTCGTGGAATTGTACTCTCGGCGCTTGCCTTACTCTCTGCCAAAAACGAAGCTCCGTTGCCACACAGAACATTCCTGGTAAACTCCTGGCTCTCACCTCTCGTTGTAGCAACCCCGCCCGGTTGTTAAGCGACTGGGCTACATCGGGATGATCCGGACCCAGGACCTTCTCTCGAATATCTTGTGACCGTTCATAGAGTGCTGCTGCCTCAGCATAGTTGCCCTGTGAAACGCAATTGTGGTTGGTCTCAGGAAATGGCCTACCAGCGGCTGTTGAGATCGGGTGCCATTGGACATAATCGTGGACGGTAAGGCAGTGGCCCACCAGCGGCTGTTGAGATCGACAACATCTATTGGGTGCTATTAAGCACGTCCGCCAGTGGATATTGCCTTCGGCCCTCACCTTGCTCTCTGCCAAGAACGAGGCCCAGTTGTCGAGGACCGTGGCAACCTCCGGGTGCTCCTCACCGAAAACTTTCTTATTTATGTCCTTTGCGCGCTTGAGCAGTCGTTCGGCCTCTTCATACTTCCCCTTGAATGCAACGGAAAGGTGCAAAATGAGGGTGTATAGAAAATGCGAAGGAAAAAATGCTCAACGAAACCCACGGGTGTTGAGCGCCTGGGCCCATCGGGGTGCTCCGAACATGGGGATTTCTCTGGTGTCACGTGTGACCGCTCATAGAGTATCTCAGCCTCAAGATACTTACACGATGAGAGGAGCAGAGGGGTGATGTCATCATCCATCATAGGGGGCATTAGCCAAAACGTTTTTGGACCCGAGGGAGAAGGCGAGACAGTAATTGGACTCATGTTTTCCTCCAACGGAATACCCCAGAAATCTCTGTAACTACTCAGCCGTTTTCATCACAAACAGATTGTACGCTTCGATACCTCCAACGGCTTTTCTAGCGCCGAGCGCATGAGAAATCAACACCAACGCCCGCTTGTTGAGCTTGATTATCACGTCTGGGTGATCAGGGCCCAGCACTATCTCTCCTGTCTCAGAAGTCGAAGGTACAAAGACTCCACCTCAGCACGCTTACCCTCCGGTTTATCATTGCAGACAAACATGATCTGGGTGATGTTAAGATCAGAAGAATTGATGCGAGGCACACAGTTGCCACTGCTGGGTGGTCTGCAACAACAACTCGGACAATGAACCCTGCAACACCGAGGCCGCACCACAGCGCACTCCATGCAAGAGAAAAATAACATCGCCTGGGATTTTCCAGAAAACGAAGCCGCATCGCACCTGATTCTGCAACACGATGGCCTTGTCGTTCATCCACACAGCAATTTCCGGATGACCTGCACCAAGGGTCTTCTCTCCGTCAATGATAGCTCTAGTGTACAACGTTTCTGCCTCGTCGTACTTGCCCTGCAACGAGGGGTAGAAACGTTGAAGGAGCGTGGTTGAGGCGATCGACCTCACTACGGACCACAGCGCTCACAACCCCCGCGTAATGTCGAAGCGTTGAAGCAAGACCTGCTTGGATACGACTTTGGTGGCCTCTTGCACAATTCGATTGCCCCAGTGTAGCATATGTTCTACCTGGAGATATGAACGCCGATCAAACATCAATTCTTCACAGACTCCGCCCGGTGGTTGAGCGAACAATAAACGTCACTCCATGTGGACTTTCATAAATCGAGGCGTTTGAAGACCGAGGCACCTTGTATCACGCTGTGTGTCACCATTCCAGTAACAACCCATCGATTGAGAACGTGCAGTGACGAACCCTCCAGGTATATAGTCGACAACACGCACTGGGTCGCCTGCAGGCACTCCACCATCTGACACTGCGTCTGTGAAAGTGCGTGTTCAACGACCTTCGTATGTTGCCTGGTAAGTTAACCTCGCGCATATTGAGTCTGTAAAAATACCAGCCATGGCGCCGCTAATGAGACTCGACCAGAAACAAAACAAGTCATGATGATTGCCCGCATCAAATGACAAAATGCAATGAAAAGAGGCTTCCTCAGCTTATGTGCGAAGGACATGGAGATGCTACCTTCAACGAGGAAGCCTTCCACCAACCTGTCGCTCCAGACAGTCACCAAGATCAGCCGTCGCTTGAATTTGTTGGCGGAACACCCACTTCCATTCCATGGTTGCGTTGTCCTTCAAACCTCGCACGGCGCGCTCGGCCTCAGAGAGAGCCTATGAGGGGAAACATGCAAACAACCGTGCGACAAATGTGTGTGGCAGTGTGGCTCGATACCGTGTGAGTTGTACATCTACCGCGATTTCCATAGCAATAGTCTCCAGGACCTAGCGTAAGCTACGGTGCCATCTCCATCACGCTTGCCCAATACCTTTCTGTGCCCATCCTCCGCATGGGCGTACCGTCCAGCGGCAAGCTGCAAGCGCGGCAGCAAAAACCCAGTCTCATGCCAGTTACTCTCAGCCAGGCGGATCATCTCATCCGTAACCTCGCCCGACAGGTTCTCGAAGAGTTGGTCCGCTACCATCGCCTTAGTCACGTTAAGATCCCGCGCCCACTCGTACACAACGTGCTGATGGCGCTTTAAGTTGTAGAACTCCCGGAGGTGCAGCTGGATCTCGCATAGATGCCCGTTAACAACCGCGTTCAGTTTCACATCCCGGTAGCCGCTGGGCATCCAGTCGGAGATGAACCCGTTAGTGACTCGAAAAATATCTCGTGGCTGTGCAAGGATAACCGGGAAGCAGCAAAACGGACGGTATCATCAATGCCCGACCTGAACGTATGAGTGCATTCACAAAGGCCACCTCTCTCGCTTCCTTGGAGCGCAAAGGAATACCCGAGTAGGCACCTTTTGCAGTGCCCACCATCCAACGTTCGCTCCGAGAGCCAGATGTTCCTCTGTACTGCATGTTGAGTTGGTACTTAATACAACCAAATGCTAAATAGTCGATACCATGGAGTCCCATCACTCCCAGATAGTGCATAAGGAAATACAACGAGCGATTTTATTTGCACTCCCCCAACAAGGTTTTGGAATGCCACCTCCTGAAAATCTGGACTGGACATCCTGCTGACCTTTAGGGTCCTCGTAATGCTCACGTATGCCTGCTTAAGGTCCTCCGGTTCCTGACAGACCACGGACAAGCGAGCCATGTCGGCGACCTTCCGGACGTCTCCGCTATAAAAGTTGACGGTCTTGCGTTCCGTGCTTTCGAGCGACTTAACGTCCGCGAACTGGACTTCACATCCTTCCAGTCCGCCGACGACATTCTGGACTAGTTCGTCTAAGCACCGTTTCGCAACTTTGGCGGCCGCAAGGTAGAAATGGAGCTTCTCCGCAAGCTCGCACTTCTGCCGTTTCATTTTCTGAGGCTGCAACATGTCCTTCATGCGAGCCGGGGGGATACCGCGAACACACTCAAGACCTCCATCCTTGTTGCGCTCATAGCACAACTGATCATACTGTCGTTCGAAGTGCAGAACCGTCTCGACTTGAAGAAACTTGAGCAAGTTTATCTTAGCGCGTCGTTCAAGGGACATCGCTATACCGCTTCCGGGAGCATCGTGCTTCAGGTCGGCCTCCACCTGGAGGAGGTCCTCGATGCTGAATCCGCCATACACCTGAGGCACAATAAGCGGGATTAGCAGCAGTGTGGACCCAACCGTTAAAGAAACCAAGCGGTGACCAAATTGTGGTTTGTCGCAATGCCCGTAGTATGGTGGAGAATGGCTTGCGGCAGACTGCATCCAAGGAAACGTCAGGGAAAAGAACATGGATCCTTTTTAGGAGTGAAACGCAATGGCGTTGTGTCGTGAGTGAGTGACGACGCAAGGACGTCCGGCGGATGAAAGAACGCCGCCAGACTTATATCGGGGGTCAGGCAGTTGTGCTAGAGAGTCGCGATCGGACGGACTGCCAAGCAGACTTTGTGGTGCGGGTGCACTATACCCTCGCAGTGAACACTTGAGGCGGTCCCGTTCCCTTGTCTACACCAAGGCCAGCGCCTCAACTTTCCTTCATGCCCGGACAGCTCGCGTAATCCTCAAAACTTAACGCCAATGCCACATGCCCATCTCAGTTTGTTTAGGACTCCTCCCAATTCACCACAAGCAACGATGGAGAAAACGGACTAAACAATTGAAGTGGTCATCCCCACGGGGCAACGTGCAGGAGAAAATACTCACGAGGATCTCTCCAAGTCTGGTATCATAGATGTCACCAAGTTATTGGATTAGTCCTGCAGAGAGCATAACAACAATTGGATCCAAACACCAGGATATTCCCTCGACGATTGGGCGCCTAGGAAGGCAAACCATTACTATGCGGGAGTTTTCAACCCGTCTAGCTTAATCCTCCGTACTGCTTTTTCAATGTATGGTGGTTTCGGTTGATCGTCGCTACTGCGACGACGTAACGAGGTAAATTTCCATGACCAGTGTCGCCTTCCTCCGCCGGAATGCTATCTACTCGTTCAAGATTGGGAGACGGTAACGAGGTGAATTTCCATGACCAGTTTCGCCTTCCTCCGCTCGAATGCTATCTACTCGTTCAAGATTGGGAGACGGTAACGAGGTAAATTTCCATGACCAGTTTCGCCTTCCTCCGCCCGAATGCTATCTGCTCGTTCAAGATCGGGAGACGGTTTGCCTTCAAGCTACTGTCAAAGGTCGCTTCTTATCAGTGCGAACAACGTCCGTCAATACCGTTTGCTAATGATCGACCAAACCCCATCAAGGTCAATTGGTTGGGATTTCATTTGTGACGGAAACGAAGTGGGTGGAAAATACGGCGATACTCATGCAGAGGTGGATGGAGGAGAAATAAAGAACTCTCAAAGGAGGGTGTCCACGAAGCAACGGAGATGGTGCTGGCGAGAAGGAGTGCGAAGGTGTACCGATTCAGGTAAAAGTAAATCCACGGATACCCTGCGAATTGGGTCCTCCCTAACACTCCCCGTTTCAGATAAAAGTCAATCGACGAATACCCGGCGAATCGGGTCCTCCTTAACACTCTCCGCCAACAGAATTTACCCTCAACTGGAAACATCTTGTGGCCAGGATGGGTAATTCGATAGAAATGTCACAAGGTTCTTTGCAGGATCGACTCCAAGAGGTGTTCTCAGGACTGACACACATTGTGTCCATGAGAAAATGTCCAAGTCAGGAGATAAAGTGTGCATCCAAGGAGGTCCGAACCAGTATCCACCTGACGCCATGCGCAAAGGTGTTCCCATTCAGGTAAAAGTCAATCGACGGGTACCCTGCGAATCGGGTCCTCCTTAACAGGAGGGTGAGTGGTGGCACGGAGAGTAATAATTCGTAGTAACGAAACGAAAGAGGAGGGAGTTGAAGGGGAGAGAGGGATGTAGCCAAGAACGAAGAGACAGAGTACACATGCAGCGGGAATGGCATCAATTGGAATGGCATCAATTGAGACGTGACGATGAAAACGATGGTGGTAATGGTATCGAGGGCAACTGTTTTGGGAGTGAGGAAAGAGAAGGAAAAGGAAACGAAAGAAAGGACAAGGATGAAAACGATGATGATGGTGGAGGAAAACATGGCGTGGAAGACAACAAGAGCTTTGGGCCTGGTGACCTTACTCACAACAAAAGCCGCAGGATCATATGTGGAGAGGACCTGCCGAAAAGTAGAGGGGATATTGGCGACGANGGACCAGGCTCTCACATCACCAAGCGCGAAGCGCCGTGAGATATTCGGCGAGTCGCATGAAGGGTGCGCTGCATCCTGCTAAGAGCGTTCGGCATCTTGTACTTACTTCCTTGCGTACGGATATCAGCCGCGTAAGACTTAATTTACTTTCTGGTGCTTTCACTTCCAGAGACAGTTGTAAGCGCTGTGTAACTGCCTCGAGGATGCTTGACCAATTTAACACGACGTGGTGCGATCATCCCCCTTGCGCGGAGTGAGGGTTCTCCACCCCGCACAACATGATCTACTCGACCACCATCATGGTTACCGCCAAAAATAATAACAGAGGTAAAAAAAAAAGAACGGTAACCTGGTTGCCGAGTTCACGAAGTGAATTGGCTTGTTTTACAACGTCGTTGCCAAGCGACGAAAACCCAACCCCGATGGCAAACACCAGG